TACACATACGTAATTCTGAATTGGAAACGAAATTCTCTTCCATAATTTTTTTTTTTTTTTTTCTCTTCCATAATATTGTCTCACATAAAATTTGTAATCTACTCTAAAATCCCTCCTTTCAACAAAATCATATAAAAATAATAATTTCTCTGCCAACATAAAAATCAAGTTCATTGTGGTATTTAGAGCTTTAGTAGACACGTAGACATTCTTAAACAAGTAAGCAGAAGGTTTATGGAGTACTTTATAATAATTCAACTTCTTAGAACAACAAAATTTTACAATAAAATTATAAAAGGAACAATTTAGGGAAAAAAAAAAAAAAGGAGCGAAAAAGCATGATAAAAGCTGAGATAGGAAACTAAAAAAGCACACTTGTTTCCAAAACTTAATAGGGTTTGTCCCAAAATTGGATTTGTATACAAGTGAATGAGAGAACACAGTTTCAAGATCTACGGACAACAGCAGTGGCGAAATAAGGATGATGGGTGAACTCAAACGATACCTTAAGCGAACGGTCTTGACAGAAAAGGTTCACAGCAACAATATTGCGTTCCGCGACTTTCTCTAATCCTTGGACTTCAGCCAGTTTATCAGGGTCATTGGCATAACCAACCTTTATGTCCTTAGCGATCTTTTGAGCATCGTGAAAGTACTCATACATAGGAAGATACTGCAGCAAAAGTAATGGATACAAATTTACTCACATGTTCAAAACTGTTTCCATTCGAATATAGTAGATTTATACATGTACACATCCATCACTAAAACATATTAAACATTACCTATATTTGCTCAGTCAATATTGGGATCTCAATTTTTATTGTGTTAATAGTTGTTAATCAAGTTATTGCTTTTAATCAAATAGTTAAATGATAAATCCTACATGTACATATTTTAAATAAATTGTGAATCCTAGATTTGTATTTTCCGAATTACCTGAACCTTACTCAAGATATTGCGATTTATGGTAGTAATCAGATAGTGATTGTAGGTCCCCGAACTACCTTTACACTACTCGATTCCCGAATTACCCAACCCTTTTTTAAGTGTATGCTTTGGGTAGTAGATTTAGATATCTGAAATAACACCATATTCAACCCTTACCCGCTATAACCGGACCCTGTACCCTTAATGCACATGTCTACTTCTACAGTTTGGTAGT